GCGCTCACCATAGCACATACCCTCCCCAATGTCTATCACACAGCCACCCCATCCCTCCCACCCCCCACCACTCCAGCAACCCTCAGTTTGTTTCCTGAGATTAAGAATTCCTATCAGTGACATGTATCATATGATCTCACTGATAAGAACTTCATGGCTTCTTATTGGGCTCCATCCTCCAGTGGCTGTAGAGTGCCACTGGTATGTTCAACCTAGATTGATTAGAAGGCCAAAATTGACAGCTTTTTGTAGCAGGGGAGGGGCACAGCTTGGATATGAGGGCTGGGATGCTCATATATGTGCATATGTGAAGCCTTTCATGATATGGAGTAGAGCTAGAGTCAGGGAAGCAAAGAGAAGTGGGATTGGCTAAGGTTCAGGGCTGTCTCTCTATGGGCTACACATGCTAAAATAGAACTCAAAGGACAAGTATTCGATTTGATTTTTTAAATTTTACATTTAAAATTTTAAAATTTTAATTCCAGTGTAGGTAACATACAGTGTTATATTAGTTTGAGGTATTCAGTATAGTGATTCCACAGTTCCATACATTACTCAGTGCTCATCAAGAATAAGAACATTTTTAATCCCCTTCACTTACTTCCCCCATCCCTCTACTCACCCCTGCTCTGGTGACCATCAGGTTGTTCTCTAGAGTTCAGAGTCTGTTTTTAAGTTGGCTCTCTTCCCCTTCCCCCTGCTCTGTTTATTTGTTTTATTTCTTAGATTCCACATATGAGTGGAATGATAGGGTATTTGTCTTTCTCTGACTGGCTTGTTTCATTTAGCATTATACTCTCCAGCTCCGTTCATGTTGTTGCAAATGGAAAGATTTCATTCTTTCTTATGGCTGAATAATATTGCATTGTATGTATATACCATATCTATATCCATTTAGCTATTGATAGACACTTGGGCTGCTTCTTTAGTTTGACTATTGTAAATAATGCTGCAATAAACATGGGGTATGTATATATGTGTATATCCCTTCGAATTAGTGTTTTCGTATTCTTTGGGTAAATACCCAGTAATGAAGTTACTGGATCATAGAGTAGTTCTCTTTTTAATTTTTTGAGGCACCTCCATACTGTTTTACACAGTGGCTGCACTAATTTGTATTTCTGTCAATAGTGCATGAGGGTTCCCCTTTTCTCCACACCCTCACCAATACCTGTTGTTACTTGTATTGTTAATTTCAGCCATTCTGACAGGTATGAGGTGGTATCTCATTGTAGTTTTTTTTTTTTTTAAGATTTTATTTATTCATTTGAGACACGGAGATACAGAGAGAGAGAGAGCATGAGCAGGGGAAGAAGCAGAGGAAGGGGGAGAAGCAGGCTCCCCGCTGAGCAGGGAGCCCGATGCGGGGCTCGATCCCAGGACGCTGGGATCATGACCTGAGCCGAAGGCAGAGGCTTAACCATCTGAGCCACCCAGGTGCCCCTCATTGTGGTTTTGATTTGTATTTCCCTGATGCTGAGTGATGCAGAGCATTTTCTCATGTTTCTGTTGGCTATTTGGATGTCTTCTTTGGAGAAATGTCTGTTCATGTCTTCTGCCCATTTGGATTATTATTATTTTTTTTTTTTTTGGTGTTGAGATGCATATTTTTTTATATATATCTTTGCTACTAACCCTTTTTCATATATGTCATTTGCAAATATCTTCTCCTATTCAGTAGGTTGTCTTTTAGTTTTGTTGGTTGTTTCCTTTGCTGTGCAGAAGCTTTTTATTTTGATGTAGTCCCAAAAGTTAGTTTTTTCAAAGGCCAAGTGTTTTAAATTTGAACCTGGCCTTCCATGTTTTTATGAAGGTATCTTTGCAACTTAGACAAAGAGAACATACTTAGAATTTGATCTGATTTATTTTTTTTAAAGATTTTATTTATTTATTTGGCAGAGAGAGACACAGCGAGAGGGAACACAAGCAGGGGGAGTGGGAGAGGGAGAAGCAGGCTTCCCGCTGAGCAGGGAGCCCAGTGCGGGGCTTGATCCCAGGACTTGGGATCATGACCTGAGCCGAAGACAGCTGCTTAACGACTGAGCCACCCAGGTGCCCCGAATTTGATCTGATTTAAAGAATGATTTATCATTTTAACATATCTAGAAATATGATCTGTGAGCCTCATATTCCCATTCTTACTGTGGACTCCACAATTTTAGAGACCTATTTTAGTACTTGAAAATTATAACAAAAAGTTTGTATAACTGTGTAAACAAAAATATAGCTATGTGTATGTGTAATATTTCTGAAGGCTATATTATGATTAAAATTTCAAACCAATTCTACATCTGCTTATGTTAATATTTTTAGCAAACTTCATAGTCTTCTAGATCTTATACCAATATTGAATTTATATTCTTGTTTTAATTAGATTCAAATTTAAAAATTTAATTTCAGTTGCTTTCAATATTTTTGGATAAGATGAAATTTAACAGCTGATCTGTTTTAACTATTTTGGTACCCAAATCTAATTCTGACTTCTTTTATAAAAATTAAAGAGAGAAGAAACACTACTGACCATTGAATATCACAAATTTAACCCAGAAAATGATGCACCATTTTATTAAGAATCTTTATGGAGTGTTTTTGAGAAGAACCACATTTCTAATTCTTTGTGTATATTTTGTCATTTCCTCATCCCTTGGTTCATATAACTTTTGATTCAGTGAGTGTATGTTATATTGTTCCCATTCCTGATCTTTCTTTCCATCTAAACATTTTTCCTCCAAACCCACACATTTTTAAATAAAGATATGAAATGATTTCAGGATTTTTTTTGTCACAAGAGGCAATTTTTGACATTTTAGTTAAATATGATATTTTGGGAGAATTGATTGCGATAAGCATGGTTAATACTTTTTATTAATGTGAAGGGGTATAGTGTGAAGGTGTTAAAATATAATTATTCAAACAGAATTTACTGAGAATATAGCTCCATACTTCTATATGGGAGAGTAGAGGATGCAGTGTAGACCATAATAATTACATGCATTTCCTGAGAAACAAAATCAGTTCTGATTAGGAAATTTTCTAAAATTGGAATAATCCTTGGTTGAGTACCTCTGATGTTCTCCAGTGGGTGAAATCCTTAGAATTTTGGATACTGATTTTGGTAGTTTACAGATTTTATTATTTGCATCTTGCTTCACTGCTTATATTCTGAATGGTTAGTTTGCCTTTAAGATGAGCTATGAGAGTGGTTTGCCTTAAGTTTAAGTTAAGACCCATGATCACTAGAATGAAAAACATTTAGATGGGTAATTGCATGTATCTTCATGAGATTATTGGATAACTCCTATGTTTATCAAGGATGTTTTGCAAAACTACATCCACAGTCCCAAAGGAACTTTTTGTTTCTCCTGGAAAATATCCTATGAAGTTCAAGTTAGCAACTTATAAACAAAATTTTTAGAAGCAGATTGTTTTTAAGGTTGCATGATAACATAAATTCTTTCTTTGTGGAAATACACAGTAGATATTGAAAGTGGTTAGTGTCATAACTGTCCTACAGACTGAAGAAAGTAGCCATTCTATTAGAAACTGCTAAGTGAAATTCAACTAGTCTTGATTAAGTGACTCTCTACAGCCAATTAAAGTAAGAAACTGCAAACAGGATGTGTTAAATAATCTTATAAATCACTGAAGTATGGTATTGAGAAATAAAATACTTAATCACTATAGAAAATAGTTTATTTCCAGGATACTTTAATAGAAATGAGAAACTATGATGAATGCCATGTTTTCCCAAAAAGGCTATAAAATTACCAGAATGTTTTTTTAAATCTATTGAAAATTATCGCTATTACTATACCAATAAAATACAATTACATTCTCTATTTATAATTTGGAATTATCAATATTTAGATGTGTAAATGCCGACAATGCCAGTTTATTTCAAGGTACTTAGAGATTTTTATTAAATTTGTAAAAAAGGATAAACAAAGTTTTATATGCATATAAGTGGCAGAATGCTCAATGTCAACATGTAGAAGTGAAGATAATCCAATGATGCAGCTCAGAGTAAAAGCTAAAGTTTTTTAAAATGCTTTATTAAAGGCTTTATTTTTGTCCTTTCTCTTTCTGTCCTGTTACCTAGTGTGCTTCCAGGGCCCATTCATACTGTTCCTAAGATATACCTGTATACTCCTGACTAAGGGTATTTGTACTTACTATTTCCTCTTGACAAGGTTCACTCTCTCACCTCCATGACATTGCTTAAATGTCACCATCTCAGAAAGGCGTTTTCTGGCCACCCGATTTAAAGTGGCAGCCCTCTTCTCCATCTCCCTGCCTTAATTTTCCCATTGTACTTTCTACCATATTTTTCAATTTACTCATTTACAGTTTTTATCTTCTCTCCTCACTCGAAGTAAGCTCCATAAAAGCAGGGTTCAGCTGGTTCACTACTATATTCCCAGTGTCCAGAATAGTGTCTCATAAATATTTCTTGCATAAATCTATGACCTTATTTATGTCTATTTTCTATCAGTAGACATGTAAATATTTAATTGAATACTGCTAAATATATCTCAATTTGTGGCCGACTGGATATGAAGGCAGGTGGGTAACCACTGTGTTTGTCATCAGTCTATTTATTTTGATCATATAACGGATGCTATTTTACATTTGTATAGTGTACCAGGAACTATTTACATTGTTTTACGTATATTAAGTAACATACCTTACAACAACCCTATGAAACATATACTATTATCAGTTCCATTTTACAGTTAAGGAAACAAGAGGTTAAAGTAAGTAGCCCTTGGTCATACAACTAATACGTAGTAAAGCAAGGTTCATACCAGGACAGTTGGTATGTCCAGAACCTACACTCTTAACCAGAGGTTCATGGTTAAAATCCTCCTGCATTGTTGCTTTGAATAGCTTCATTTCTATCCTTTTTATATATATTTCTTCACTAAAACAGAAAATTTTGGAAGTAATCATATCTGTTTAACCACTGTGGTTTTATAATCATTTGATTTTTTTTCTTGCAGTGGGATGCTATCACTGAAATGGATGAACACAATAGGCCCATTCACACCTACCAAGTATGCAATGTAATGGAACCAAACCAAAACAACTGGCTTCGTACGAACTGGATCTCCCGTGACGCAGCTCAGAAAATTTATGTGGAAATGAAGTTTACATTGAGGGATTGTAACAGCATCCCATGGGTTTTGGGGACTTGCAAAGAAACATTTAATCTGTATTATGTGGAATCAGATGAGTCCCATGGAATTAAATTCAAGCCAAGCCAATATACAAAGATTGACACAATTGCTGCTGATGAAAGTTTTACACAGATGGATTTGGGTGATCGCATCCTGAAGCTAAACACGGAAATTCGTGAGGTGGGGCCTATAGAAAGGAAAGGATTTTATCTGGCTTTTCAAGACATTGGGGCATGCATTGCCCTGGTCTCGGTCCGTGTTTTCTACAAAAAGTGCCCCTTCACTGTTCGTAACTTGGCTATGTTTCCCGACACCATCCCAAGGGTTGATTCTTCTTCTTTGGTTGAAGTAAGGGGCTCTTGTGTGAAGAGTGCGGAAGAGCGTGATACTCCTAAACTATATTGTGGAGCTGATGGAGATTGGCTGGTTCCCCTTGGAAGGTGTATCTGCAGTACAGGATATGAAGAAATCGAAGGTTCTTGCCACGGTAAGAAAGAAACTCTCAATTTATCATGCATTTAAATGACGTTTTAAAAAGATGAAGTTTTACATTTATTTTCAAATAATACATTTTCAAATGCTATTACTGGCAGAACTGATTGTGGAAGAAATTATTAATTATAAGATAGTTTCTTATTATTTTTCCCCTTAGAAAGAGTATATGAAAATGTAAAATAAGTTGCATACCATGACAAGTGTTCCTCCATATTGACTTCAATAAAGTAGTTAAGCCATATGAATGGCTGTATTCATCTAATTTTTATAAAGTAAGACAACATCAATAGCAGCAACAAAAAACAAAAGGGATTCAAAATGGATATTTGCTCAAATTTCATGTTTGATGACTTACAGAGAATCTGGCATTTAAAGATAGTTTGAAAACAATTCTTTCTTTCATATTGAATTGTAGTAACTGAATAGTACCTAGATAAGATGAAGTTATATTTAAATAAGTGAGGAATTCACATATGTGTTTCAAAAACATACATAATAGTTTATGCAGGTGTTATGTGTTTGGTAATTGAATACTGCTGTGTTAGAGCTTAATTTATCTTTTGCTACTATTTTTTTAATATTTATTTGAGAGAGAGAGAGAGAGTGCATGCACACATGCACGGTGGGGAGGGGCAAAGGGAGAAGGAGAGACAGTTACAATCCTGGACCCTGAGATCACAACCTGAGCAGAAACCAAGAGTTGGACGCTTAATAGACTGTGCCACCCAGGTGCCCCTATCTTTTGCTACTAGTAAGTACAATTTCCCACCATATAACAAATTACCTTTTAGTTGTTGTAATAGTAGTATTTGTGTAAGATCTGTCAGGAAATATTAACAAAACACAATGTTAATTAAGTTTAGAACCATACCTTTCACATTGTTATGGTAATAAAATACCTGTAATTTTCAAGATCAAAGATTTTGTCTTTCTATGTGTATCATTTTGTGAGGGCTTATTAATCTAATAAATGTATACATTTAAAAATTTTTACACAAAGATAATATACATCAATTGTGTTTGGATTTAGGACTTGTGATCAAAACACAAATATAGAAATAAAATTATGGCATGATAAATAGTAACATAATACAGATATTTCCCTCTTAATGGTGAATGATTTATAAGTTTGTTTTCTGTATCATATTGAATTTATTGACTTCTTTGTTGGTGCTATATTCATGTTCTTTAAAATGATAAATAAGAATAAATAAAAATAAGAAAAAAACATACTTGTATAAATGTAAGGGTCATAAAAAATACCTGTGAATTTTTAAAGGTTTTATCTATTTATAAAACACTCGGGTTCTTGAATGTTGAAACTCACTAGAGTTTCCAATGATGGTTATGTTTGGTTGTCTAAAAATATCAATATATGCACAGAATCTGTAGTATAATTTTTATAAAGCATGAATCGGCTTTTCTCCACTATTTAATTATTAAAAGATGTTTCATTCAAGTTTATCAATATAGATTGAATTCAAAAGTTTTATTCCCCTATAACAAAGATTTAGAATGGAATAGTCAGAAATGATTCTTTGAAGAGGCTTTATAAAACATTTCTATACATTGGAAAATAAGCTAAAGGAAAATTAATATATGTGAATAATCAGTGGGATTAAGAGGGTAATAAGAGCTGAGGATAAAACATTACACATACTAACAATGTAGTTTTCCCACATTTGGGAAATTAGGTAGAAGCTGGGCATTCATTGGCAAAAATATGGTAAAAAAAATATGGTAAAAAAATATTTTAAAATATGCAAAGAATAATTCTCAGGCCTTGCGTGATTAACTTTTACTGAATATTTGTATTTTTATGGTATTAATCACAGAATAAGAGGTAGTGACAATTATTGATGGCTACATGTTTTTTCTTAATCTGTTTATTCTGTGAATTTCATTCTTATATGTCTTAAAATTCTTTCATTTGTTGGGTAAGGATGATTTTAGACAAATGATAATCATTATCAGCTTGTGTAGACTTATCTATTTTTGTGGCTTGTTATCTTTATTTTAACTTATTTGATTGTAGAAACATAAGAGAGTGGGTACAGTATACATGTTCATCATTTCCTTGTAGTGGATGGCAGAAATTGGAAGAATTAAGCTTGGATTCTAAATCCATGGCTTATTAACTTTGAAATCACAGTTTCCTTATCCATAAATAAAGTAGTGGTTCTAATCAACTCATGATAAAGTATATGGAGAACTAATAAAAACACACACATCTGCGTGGTTCCAATTTAATACAACAAATTGCTATTTACAAACACAGAGGAAGCCAGAGTGGATGTAGAGACCTCATATTTTGAAAGAGGTACTTGCACTACCACCAGTCTCCATTTCAGAGTACTTATTTAAGTACTCTGTTTTTGATGTTTTGCATTGCTTCTTTATTTCCTTTGATGATAATTTTTATCAGATTCTATTGCCATCTGTCAACAACTTACTTCACAACCAAATCTCTGAATTACATGTAAGCTAAGTGGCCAATTAATTGGAAGTTATACGAATAAAATCATAGCTCAAATAGTATATGGTCACATATGTAATGTGAGATATAAATGTGTGGGTGGGTGGGTGTATAACTGGAGAAGAAAAAACGGTATCTTGGTATCATTTCTTCTGATCTGTTTTGTTAGAACATTTAATTTATTTGAGCTATTAACATTTTTGAATACCTACTTATCTATTAATCACTTTGGTAAGTGGTAGAGAAAAATACGAATAAACCTTATGGTTTAGTTATCTATTGTTATTGAGATGAAAGAACCCCAAACTTACTAGCTTAAAACCACACTGATTTATGATTTCTCAAGGCTCAACTGGGTAGTTCTTTTGCTTTAGGGTAAGCAAAGGTCACTAATGCAGCTGAATTCAGCTGTGAGGTTGACCAGAGCTAGAATGTCTAAGATGACCTCTCCTCTTCCAGAGTTCTTTGTATTTAGTGTCTCATCATTTAAGAATCTGGTCTAAGGTTTTTTACGGTACAGTGGCTGCCTTTAGAGGGAGTTTTTCAATGGCCAAACAAAGAGTATATGAGGGGGTACTCTACAAGGGAGTGAATACCTGAAAGCCAGTGTGACAGTATACCACAGTCCACTCTGGATTCTCATGATTAATGTCCCTCCTTCATGCACAAAACCCCACATCCTCCCAAATATTTATTCCATTATGGCATCATGTTTAAGTCCAGAGAAACACGATTAAAAATCAGGTCCAGGGCGCCTGGGTGGCTCAGATGGTTAAGCGTCTGCCTTCGGCTCAGGTCATGATCCCAGGGTCCTGGGATCGAGTCCCGCATCGGGCTCTCTGCTTCTTGGGAGCCTGCTTCTCCCTCTGCCTCTCTCTCTCTGTCTCTCATGAATAAATAAATAAAAATCTTTAAAAAAAAAAAAAAAAAAAAAAAAAAAAAATCAGGTCCAGATGTAAATGAAGCTTCATAGCTCAAGTTCCTCTTGACCTGGACAACTAAGAACTAAAAAGATAAGTTATTGTTCCTCACACACACAGTACACATGGGATAGGGATAGAATAATTGTAAAAGATTCTCCCATTCCTAAGGGCTGGGAACACAGCTGTCACTGGTCCACTGTGATTCTGAAATCCAGCTGAATGTTGTCAGGATCTCTTATAATAAGGGCAGGGAATGTTCTTTGATTGCATCCCAGTTCTGCTCCCTGGGATTGGTTCTCTGTGGTTCTTGGCTTCCTTCTGTGGTTCTTGGCTTCCTTCTGTGGTTCTTGGGTCGGCCCTCTGAGTCAGCCCCTCCGTCCCTCCCTTACTCCCTCCCTCCCTTCCTTCCTTCCTTCTTTCCTATTTATTTTCATCCTCATTATTTATAAGAACTATTTATATGTCTGTTTCACCAGGGCTGTCTGATAAAGGAGGAGTATTTTAAAAATATGTGTGTAATTAAGGGTAAGAAATTTATCGATATGAATGATCATAAGGCACTGAGAACCAAGCTCTACTTAGTACTTAAATGCAGACACAGTTGGTATACCTACAGAGTGCTTTGTTTCTTCTCATTTCTGTGAAATAGGAAAGTTTTCTTCAGGAAGGTTTGCAGTAGATCTGGTTGCTTTAGATCTGGAAAGTTCTAAAAAATATCTTTATACTAGGGCATCTGGGTGGCTCAGTCAGTTAAGCGTCTGCCTTTGGCTCAGGTCATGATCCCAGGGTCCTGGGATGGAGTCCCACCGTCGGACTCCCTGCTCGGTGGGGCGCCTGCTTCTGCCTTTCCCTCTGCCACTCCCCCTGCTTGTGCTCTCTCGTTCACTCTCTCTTTCTCTCTCAAATAAATAAATAAAATCTTTAAAAAATATCTTTATCCCTCATTTTATAAATCAGGATACTAAATTACTGAGGACAGAATTTTATTCCCTGGGACCACTCAAATTGATACTAGACTAAGATCTAAAGCCTAAGTATTTTTTTAGTCTGGTCCTTGTGTTTTCACTCCATATTTCCATCTCTTCTCCCATTCCTCAATTTTCTCTTTCTGTTTCTCTTTGATTTCCTCATTCTAAGCATCCATACCCTTATCTTGATTATTTAACTTTTCCTGCCTATCCACCAGTGCAGAGGAGCCCTAAGTTATTGATCATTCATTAGGCCCTTTTTGTCCATGTTTATTTTTTGGAATCCGATATGAACACAATTAGAATAGTATCTAAACATCTATTCTGAAATTCAGGCTACTGAGAATAATGGAAAAAGTATGGACTTACCTGGAACTTTGATATAAAATATGATAAATAAGAAACATTATAATGAGGTCTTAGGGATTTTGATAATTTACTTGAATGGATTTGAGAACTCTTGATTTGTTATGTGGTGAAAACACAATAAGCTGGTTTAAAATAGAATTAATCTATGATACCCATACTATCATTATGTTATGAGTAATGTGTATTTATTTGCATTTAAATAATTTATCATAATATTTTATCCTAAAAGTTGTCCTACTGAATGTTAGAACATGTG